CCCGCCAGGGATCAAACCAGCGACTTTCAGGTTCCGTGGCCAGGTTGCGCTATATCGTGAGTTAACAGGAGTTGGAAATATGGACCACTGGATTCTGATCCATTGGCCCAATGGTAACGCGCTGGCCGCGGAACCTGAAGGTCGCGGGTTCGATCCCTGGTGGGGCGGGGTCGTGAGTGCGCACTGCTGAGGAGTCCCATACTCGGAGGAAACAGCTATCCAGTGCTCCCAGGTTTCCTTTGTTCCTCCAACTGGTATCAGTCTACGATGAATAACAACTTGGGACAAATAATAACAAAATAATAGAGTTCTGATATCTAGTAGTATGTGCATGAAGTCTTATGTACTTTCTCCTTGACTTCTCAGATGTCCGACACACAGAGAAATTTAAGTGGAGAGGATGCTGGTTATCTGATAAAAAAACTCATGCCAGATGTTCACATGAGGCAACGTATTTGTCGAAAACAGTTTTAATTAGAAGGTTTATAGGTACATCACTACTTCTGCTCACAATCTTCAAAGCTCAAAGCAAAATAGCATAGTATTTTCCAGCAATTTGGGGAACCAAATTTTCATCACAGAGATCATGTTATCAAGTTTCTTGGAGTGTAATTACTCATCCACATTCCGCTCTAATGACCTGCAGTTCGTGCTTGTAATTTCAGGCAGAGTCATTTGACATAAGGTTATTCGCTTCAAAGCACGTTGCCATCCACCGTGATGCTTTTCTCTCATTTTATTTGATACTTGCACAGCAGAAGACCGTAAATCTTTTAAAAATGTGCGTGAATACATAGTGCGATCAGAGGACGTAATCAAGTGATTAAAACAAACAAAAGCTTAGAAAAATTTGATACAGTCTATGAGATGAAAAATTTAATAGGCCAGATATTTAAGTAGGCCGCTTTTAGATATGTTGCCATCCAATGTAGTATGCATGAATATTTAACACCAGTCTTGTTTTCTATTGAAGAGAATTTGAGAGTGACAGCGTCATATGACTAACCTATGTGCGAATTGAATACATGAGAAGTTTTAATTATTTACAGAATTAATAACTTACCAATTAGAAAATCACGTAAACATTTATATAACAGGAATGCATAAATCGACCTTTAAATAATATAAAGCAAAGTAAAATGCAATGTTTTAACTTTTTCCTAAATGACTACGGTGTTGTGAAATATCAGTTTACCCTTAAATCCAAACTCGATTTCATTGGCTCATAATTTAATCCATTTGTTAATCAGGATTTCTGCCTACGTTTAATCATTACCTATACAAACAAGAGGAACCAGTGGCTAGAGACTCTAGGGGATATGGCTCAGAACCGATGTCAGTGGCGCAGATGTATACATACATTATCCTCATCTTAACAGTGTTATGCCGAATTTCATCATTTTCTCATTCTCCCTTTCTTTTTTCTTGTACTTTATATTTCTTTTGACTGCATTCTCTTATCTTCATCCTTCACCTCACTACCTACTTAATGTACTGTACTGAGGTGTGACAACTCGGACCGTTACGCAGTAATGTCTGGTCCTATGTTGATGCTCATGATGATGATGATGATACAAACATTTCATGTATCGTCTTTCCGAGGCAATGAAGAGTGCAGTCAGCAGATTGATGGCCTTCCACATAGAAAAAAGGTAGGTTACTTTGATTTTAAGTCGATAACAGTCAGAAAACAGATGGATATTGAAGAGTGCTGATCGTCCGTTGCTATGATTACGCAATAATTCATTAGGGGCTTGATATTCAATGGTTTCAGGCTCCACGATAAACCTCTTATTACTTGAATACAATATATCCGATTGTAATGTATACATACATACAGGAGATAAATGCTGAACTACTGATTAGTACATTTCTCATCGTTTAGTTTAAATAATTATCACTCTGCGCACTACTGGAAAAAAATTAGTACCTAAAATAAAAAAGTTTAGTGAGATTCGAAATGAGCTTAGACCGTATTTATCTTTATCATCTTTATGAAGACTATAATACTGAACATATTCAACATCTGATGTTAAACAGTATCTCTTCTTACTGAAGCCAAAACAGTTTACGCATATAGTAGAGTTTAGTTTATTCGCGTTAATATACACTGTTTACTCCTTTCTACGCATTGAATATGAAGAAAAGAAATATTTCCTCACTGATACATATTTTGTTCTTTTTATGAAGAGGATTCATTTTTATAAATGTCATGGTTAACTGTAGTTTCTATGTAGACAATGACTTTTGTACTTCATTCTCACTCCTATCAATACGATACACTACAAATTCAAACTTTTTGGTATCTTTATGTGACCTAATTGTTCTTAATATATTTCATTAAAAAAAACAACTTCAGTAGACTTTATTTTCAGCCGAAAATCATTCGATTTTCAATTTCCTTCGTTCAATGTATCAAATCTAAATAATATCTTAATCTTATGGGAAGTTATGAGCAGACACACTTATGCTTGTATCAACTCTGTTATCTGATAAAATAGTGATTAAGGTGTATTTAAATGCTGATATGTTTTGTTCACGTAGAATATTTGTATCTACTACATACTAATTTCTTACTACAATTAGTCACAGGGAAGTTTAGGCGCAACATGTGGCTACTTGAAAAAATATACTTTGGACAGTGATAATAAGGCAGATTTCAGATTTTTTATGGGTTCCTTGACATTATCTTCACTGTCGGTACACTTCTTTACAAAATTAACTATATTTCTTGATCTGAAGCCAGTATTCAACTCCTTCGATCAATACGTCTTATGGCACTGTATCTGGCTGAAGGGGAGTTTGCCAGGTACGCCATACTGTTGAAGGTCGCTGCATTTGAACGCCCATGTGTGTGTTAAAACCTATGGCGAAGAATCAGACGGTTTGCATAATACCAGTGGTATCGACCAAGAGTATCCACTTTCTTCATACTTATTTAATTTTGTCGTAGATGAGTTTTTGGAAGTCCCAATCTCTTCTTTTGACTCCTGGGAAATTGATCTGGTCCCAGTAAAATCTTTGATTGGTTAAGAAGATACCGGTGACGTTGTTCTATCAGCTGTAGACGAAGAGACTTCTAAAAGCCTGGGGTGGCAGTTTAAGAAGTGTTCGGTATGCAGTTTTCCTCAGCAAAACACAGGTTACTTCTCCAGACTAATCTATATTGGCAGTGAAATGTTTGAGATCGTTGACCATTTTACTTACTTTGGAAATCGGATCACCACCAGACAGCCAGTGACTGATGAGATTTCTGTACGGATTCAAAGGGTACGGCTAGCCTCTGTCAAGTTGCACCGTCTAAGGAACGGGCGTGATATCCAGTTGTCCCCTAGGAGCAGACCATACTTCCCTACCGTTCAGTGTGTCCTACTACATGAGTGTGAAGCATGGATATCAAACGTGGCGAACACTAGACGACATCTTGTGGTGTTTGACCATTGTCGCTCTATTGGAATAAGCTATGTATCATAGTACCATGACACCAGTAACATTGAATTCAGGTTTACCTTCATTGACTGAAGTTGCTAGGACATGCGTTTGGCAAGCCTAGTGACCATCTACCCGTCTTGCAACGTTAGCTACAATATGGCATCAATCCATGAAGTCTTTGACTGTTGATCTGAGCTTTACATTGGAATTTAGACTTCTCGGTTGGAGTTAGCGTGACAGCTGAAGTTAATGGTTAAAGTCTGCAGATGATATGGCTAAGAAACGATCTCAGTGGTGTAAATGTCTTCATATATAATCTTTATCCCTGTTTTACTCCATCTGCCTATTTTCTTGTGAATTCCGACTGACTTTGACTACCTTTTCCCCTTTTCCATATATTTTATCTTCGTGCCTTCTATCTTGTTGTGCTAATGTGAACTGAGACAACTTGAACCGTTACGCGTATTGACCGCGTGACTGAAATACAAATAATAACACAACATCATATTTTGCCAACAAGTTTCATTATTTGTATGGAAACTGTGATAGGATAGATGAACGTCTGCATTTATGACTCCAGTAACATTCCTCATTTTTTATAGCATTCAGCTGTCCCGATCAAAATTAGGAACGAATATCAGAGATGAACATACCTGTCGAGTAAAATCCTTGGTGAGTGAAGCAAAATTAAGGTTTGGTCAACAGCTAGATATGGTAGCTCAGTTGGTAGAGTACCAGACCGGTGACGCATGGGCTACCGGTTCTTATCCCACGGTTATCCATATTTCCGTTTCATCTTGAATCATCGACATCCAGTGCCAAAAATATCATAGTCTTCTAAGTTGTTATTGTACTAATCACTTAGACCAAATACTGGTAAACATTTCAGCTGTAAAAACATGATGGGGGTCAGTAACGTCGTCATCTGGATGCACCTGCCTCCACAGGAGTGATGTTGCTCCCAGGACTAATTGCTCCGAAAGTCAGGGTGCGACGGGTAAAGTACAATTTTATGTTATGGCTCGCAAATTTTCGTCGTTGACTGGGCCGATCCCTTCTCATATTAGTTATCAAGTGGTTGAAGAATTTTAATAACTGCACAATATAAGGGTATCCCAATAATAAACAATGTTGTAACATTCCATATTAAGTTGTTTATTTGATGTAGTACACAGTGATACTGTATAATTTTTACTAGACGTTTCAAGCACCATTTATAGCTCATATTCATATCACAGTAATCATATGACTTTCAAACTTCCTTTATATAGTCCGACAGTTCATCCACTTTAGAAGTAGTATTCATCATGGACTGACATCAGTTAGGAAACCATTGAAAATCTAGGAGCACTGGACAGCTGTTCCGTCCTAGTATGGGACTTCTCAGCAGTACGCATACACAACCTTGCTAGAGATCGAACTCAGGACCTTCAGGTTTCACGGTGAACGCTTTAACCATTCAGCTACTGGGTCAGTTTCCAGTGGTTCCGAGTTTGATCCCTAGCTGGGTCGTGGTTGCAGACTGCTGAGAAGTCCAATACTACGATGAAACAGCTATTCAGTGCTCCCAAATTTTTAATGGTTCCCCAACTCATGTTATTCCATGATGAATACTACCTCTAAACTCAAAAAAAAACTTGATTGAAATCGATTACTTACAATTTATGTAAATAAATTACAGTAAACAATTGAAAACACATAAATATGTGAAGAAAATTACACATTGACAAAATACACCATTGTGTTATGTATCATCATAAAGTAACTCGAAACTGAATAACTCTGATTCATATTATGCACAAATAAAACTTAGTTTATGCATATTTTGTAAAAGTAAGACAGAGAAAATTAATTTCCTTTTTTTTAACAAAAAATGATAGGAGTAAGGATCATGAAAATGTTCACAGAAATAGCTATTGCTTTTCAAGAATACAACAGTATATATATATATATATATATATATACATATATATATGCATTTCCGATGTATAGTTCGATTGGATAGAAGTGATCAGTCAGTTAGAGGTAGGCAAATGAAAATAAAAGAATACAAATAACAAGAAAGACCAAATGAGAACAATGTATAAATTAAAACTTCAGTAAATAATCTTTACATTTCATGAATGGATATGTTTGCTATTTTTTATGGTTAAGTATTTTATATGATCAATAATTTAATAATTGTTTTATTTCAGTTTTCAATATTTTCACCTTCTTTTCTCATTTTCATTTATACTCTTATTATATTCTAAGTAAATGAGATTAGAAGTGTTCACTTTTCTTATCTAGTCAACTGGAAAATATTATCATGAATTATATTTCTTTACAAATATCATCATTATAGCTGATATTTTCCACCTTCTAAAGATAATATTATATATATATATATATATTTAGATAAAAATAAAATAATAAATAAATTATACAGAGTTTACTTATATACATTTATTTGTTATTTTGTAAAATTAATATAATCTTCAATGAATTTATCATATTGACCATGAAATAATAATTCATTGGTATAATCATTTAATTCATTCTTTTCAACCATTTTTGAAAGCATCCTCCAGATTTGTTGATTATACTCAATTGTATTAATGATTGATTGAAAATTAGGTAGTATACTGGATAATGCTCTAAATGAAAAAAAAAGAAATAGATATGATAAAGGATTTGATATTATTTTTGAATAAGAAAGAAACATAAAGTTATTAGTTTGAGCATTATTGAAATTGAATTTTGAGGAAGTTATGGGGATTTGAAAATATTTCAAATTGTTATTCATCGTAGACTGACATCGGTTAGAGGGACAAAGGAAACCTGGGAGCACTGGACAGCTGTTTCGTCTTAGTATGGGACTTCTCAGCAGTGCGCACCTACGACCTTCAAGTCCCGTGACCAGCAAGTTACAGTTGAGCCACTGAGTCAGAATCCAAACATCCATGTTTCCAACTTCTGTTAGCTCACAGTATACCGCAACCGCCACCCATTGTCATCGTTGAGTAACTGTCCTCACAACTATCAGGGTGCGCACTGCTGAAAAGTCCCATACTAGGAGGAAATAGCTGTCCAGTGCCCCCAGGTTTCCTTTGTTCCTCCAACCGATGTCAGTCTGCGATAAATAACAACTTGGAATTATTGAAATGTATGAAATCTTCACTAAGCCTTTCTATTTAACTATGGCTTAATTCCTGGTGACTGCTAAGGTTTTGTGTTGCACTAAATCAGATGCGTTATCTTTAAATCTTTACTTGCTGGACTCATTGGCTAAATGGTTAACAAGTTTGCCGTGGAACCTGAACCTCCTGACTTCGATCCATGGAGGTTGGGGCCATAGGTGCATACTGCTAAGGAGTCCCATATTAGCACATAACAGCTCTCCAGTGCTCCTAAGTTTTCAGTGGTACTCCAACTAACATCTAACTTAGAATAGTAAGTTGATGACTAGCTGTAGGGAACAGAGAGTGGAAATATGCGGAAGGGTGTTACTGAGATTAAGAAATATGTCCTACATTTATCAGTATGCCTTGATTTGAGCGCAACCATTCATCAATGTATTGTGAAAGATAAGACTGAAATATAGATTACTACTTTACTGATAATGTAAGTATGTTATTTTTCTCAAAACAGCTGGTAACAATTATAGACAACAGAGTCTACTTATAAAAGTGGTCAATGAAACTATTGAAATCAAATATTTATACGTTCATAATTCCCACTGGGACATCAAAGATATTCAGCGAAGAGGACTCTTTTCAACAAATTTATTCTCGAGCTGTACATTCGTGTATATATATATATATATATATATATATATATATATATATATATATATATAATATTTAAAGACTATAATCCTTGAGGAAGATTTAACTTAAATAATGGGGGTTGAAACAATAATAATGGTGGTGATAATTATAATATTACTAGTCGATGACGTAAAGGTGGAATGATAACAAAGAAGCGTTACGCAAGACTTTCGAATCGTTTATAAAAAGCATATAGGTTAAAAAGGGTGAGAACGTTAAACAATCAAAGGATTAGGTAATACGAATGAGACAAATTAATTGGAATAAATTAAAAATGTTTTAGAAGTAGTATTCATCATGGACTAACATCAGTCGGGAAACCATTGAAAATCTGGGAGCACTGGATAGCTGTTTCGCCCTAGTATAAGACTCCTCAGCGGTACGCACATACGACCTTGCTAGAGATCGAACTCACAACCTTCAGGTTTCACGGCGAACACGTTAACCGTTCAGCCAGTGAACTGACAGAAGTTGGAAATTATGAACCACTGGAAACCGACCCAGTAGCTGAATGGTTAAAGCGTTCACCGTGAAACCTGAAGGTCCTGAGTTCGATCTCTAGCAAGGTTGTGTGTGCGTACTGCTGAGGAGTCCCATACTAGGACGGAACAGCTGTCCAGTGCTCCTAGATTTTCAATGGTTTCCTAACTGATGTCAGTCCATGATGAATACTACTTCTAAATTGAAAATGTTTTGTTAAAATTTGTGATTATCAGGAAGATCAAATGAAATAACACCAGAAACAATTAAATGTAATAATAAAGTGATAATGACGATATAAGAGTACAAAGAATAATCTGACAAAAAAAGGGGCGGGAAACGAAAAAAGGGAACGAGATACACCAGGACTAAAATTAAGGCCAAGATAGAGACAATGACTGTACACACTTCTTTTGTACACAAAGGTCAGGCTTCAGTTCATGGACAGCCAAGGCGTCTGCTGTTTTTAGGAGTTTAAAATGGAGGAAACGTAAAGGTGAATTCGATGGACAACCTTAAAATCCTTGTTTGGGTCGGTTGAATGGTTGGAATCGATTCAATACTCGAGGATAGAACTTCTGAAGTATTTCCTTTCACCCTCATTAAACCAGACTAGAATATGTTCAGGTATACTTGTTGACAGCAATCTCTATTTGCTTGATTGCTTATTAACGTTCTCACCCTTTTTACACTTTATACACGACATAAACAACCTAAAAAACTTACGTAACCCCTTTCTGTTATCATTTTACCTTCACGTCATCAACTAGCAACATTATAAATATAACCGGCATTATTATAAATTCAACTCCGCATTATTTAAGTTGAATCATGGATTACAGTCTTTAAACATTTACAATCTTTTGGACTTCTGCTGCCTGTTCGTCAGATATACATGACAGAAGTCTTTTAAGCGATGAAGTTTGTTTCTCTGTATTAGTCATATCTAGATGTTAGTTGGTTGGAGGCCAGTGGCAGGAAGCCCTCGATCTAGGTCTCGTGCTTTTTGGCACTCGTCAACAAGGCGTATCTGCAAGCTCAACGGAACTCATGTCCCCCCTCGAATTCCAACCCGCATCACCCAGTGTTGTAGTCAGCGACTTCACCACTGAGCTATTCGGGCCACGACTGACCTCCTGTAGGACGGCTTACATCCAGAGATTATTTGTCGATATTAAGTAGTCATGTAAATTAATGCAACATAATGATAAGCAAAACTTGGCCAATAAGGTAAACGTCTTTGTACCTCAGTTACTGACATAGGGTACTGTGTCGTTAGAATAACCTGGAAACAATGTGAGTAAACTATTTAGTTTTCGCTAGCATCTTTAAATGCCTATAAAAAGTAGCATGTGAATATGTATAAGGTTTAGATTTTGCTTAAGAAACTCAATCCCACAGGCACAAGCCACCTTCTACCTTATATTTTAGCCGATCATTAGAACACGATACTAGGAAGAACAGTTATGTACGGGTGCATTTCGAGTCCATTCATGCACTCAGAGACATTATCTATTCACCTGTTTCCACAACATTATTCATTTTTTCAACAGTTTTTCTTATCATTATGTTGCATTAATTTACATGACTACTTAATATCGACAAATAATCTCTGGATGTAAGCCAGTCCCACAGGAGGTCAGTCGTGGCCCGAATAGCTCAGTGGTGAAGTCGCTGACTACAACACTGGGTGATGCAGGTTCAAATCTCAGGTGGGACATCAGTTCTGTTGAGCTTGCAGATACGCCTTGTTGACGAGTGCCAAAAAGCACGAGACCTAGATCGAGGGTTTCCTGCCACTGGCCTCCAACCAACTAACATCTACTAATGTGCACCGCGATGCTGAGCTTCCTAGCTTGGTTGCCACATTGCAAATATGATTGATAGAATTCGATCTGCACTCATGACTAGACAACATGAAATCGGTTACACTCCTGTGACCAATCAATACATTAGTCATTTCTATTTCGTGTCAAGCTAATCACATTAGCTTTCAGAAAGGAGTCAGATACATTTATTGAAAGTCGAGGACTGTATAGTTCTGATTTGGTTAAGTGGTATACAGTATGGAGCTGTAAGAATTGTTGTGATACTTTTGAACAGCATCATACTTCACCTACAAAAAGGATGTACACTTTCGAACAACTTATTTTTTTTACAAGTAAAGAGACTTGATTCACAATGTATCTCTTGAAGTTCTAATGACAATTCATGATGTATGGTATAGACTAAGTTGAGTAAGAGTAAAAATAATTGTCTGTGACAATAAATGATATACGTATTATGTAGCTAATCGACAGAAGTGAGAAATTCCTGCTGAACACTGTATTCTCAACCAGTGGCTGAGTAGTAACGTGCTTCCAAATTTATGGCCGCGAACTGCTTTGAAGTTCCAAACTCGAATGTTACAACCATTCAGGGCCTCCAGATCAACACTATTTTTTCATCCCGTGTCACTTCTTGATGAAAGCTGTATTGAAACTAATCATTCCCCCAAAACCATCAACTGAGACAGAATATTATTGAATGTCATGGCTTATATCTTCCTGCTGTTTATTATTTTTTAATACCAGATTGATCAATCAATGTTGATTTACAAGCTTTTTTTTGGGAATATCTTAGCTTTCTTAGTAAGTTCATTTTCGTATCATCTGATACACTTTGACTAAAAAGCAACTGTGAAATATTTAAGTGTTAACAACTGTGAGATCAACAATATGACAAGTACTCCCAACTTCAAATACAGACATGGTGATAATTTTGGCTTTTTCATGATTCCTTGTCACTTCAACTTCTTCTAAGATATTGTCTTGATTGAAGTAAGTGTTGATGAAGTGACCTAGCCTGGTGATGAAACCTTCAAGAACAAACCTCATATATCAGAGAAATCCAAACAATTGTCACAAAAATGTATATTTTTTTAAAACTTTTAAAAATATTTGTACTCTGTTGGATACCAATAGATTAGATGTGAAGTAGAAGGTGGTGATTACACAACTATATTTTTCATTTGGGATTTTACACCCAAAGAAAGAAACGGTCATTTTATCTTCAAAACTGCTACTATAATAATTTCTCACCGTAAAATCGAATAAATTACTATACTGTTAGTAGAATAAAGTCATAAACGTATAATTTGTATAAATGAAAGAAAAATGTTGTATTCTTCTTGGTATCTAGTAGTGAAATCCAGGACTACGTTTCGTACTTTTTGAGACTCATCAGATGGATGTACCTTTTCCCCTCCCCTTCCAGTGAGTGAGGGTTAAAGCACATCAATCCAATATAGTAACGGGAAATTACAAGCATCCAAACAAAAGCAGTAAAATAAAAATGATTTATTGAAATGCATAATCTCTCTGTTTAGAGCATCACAAGCAGAATAAGAAAGAAAATAGTTAATTTACAAGAACATAAGAAATAAAAAGGAAAACAGAATGACACTGTTTTGAACAAAGTAGCTTGAGTACAAATGGTATATTTAAGATTAACAAACGACTCTGCAGAAAAATTCAGCGAAGAAAATTTTCTTTTCGACGAATCATTCTCAAATCCTGTACAATCATACTCATACTTACAATAAAATGGGTAAATACAAAGCAAACAAAATCAGTTAATAAAGTCACAAGCTGATAAAGACTAGAAGGTCAACTCAAGGTCATCAAAGGTTGTTCATAAGATTCCAATAAATTGATGAATAGTAAACAAGTCAGAATTAGCGACAACGTATCTCTCTTGAAGATAGAGATCAGATTTATACGGCTGGATTGCTAGAGCTTCTGATGTGCCCAGGTGGCTAATACGTAATCTCTTCGAAATATTTTCCTTTGGAAGTAGATGTCAGTAGAGTACAGTTACGAAAGATAACCAAATGTTCAAGAATCGACTTGTTGATATCTTTACATTGTCCTTCAGAGAGCCATGCATGATAGTGTTCGGAGATGCTTCTGGATGGACCGCGCTTTGAGTTGCCTATTTAGCCGGCTCTACAAGCACAGATGAACTGATACACGCACATGGAGGTGGTCCAAAGCGGCAGCTTATTCGTTACACACTCTCGAATCAGTTAGTGACTAGATAAAACAGTCTGAAGCTAGGTGGAAAATAAGGTCTTCTTCAGTGTTTTGCATAATCGATTCTTTATTATCTTCACCAGTGTGTTTGCCTTGATTTCATTATTCGTAAACAGCGTCTACTTTTGAACCGTAAGAGTTTCTTCTTTGAAATTGTTAGACCTCATATTCCTCCTAACAAATCTTAGAGGATAGCCATGAGAATCTCCTTTCAAAGTGAAGCAAATCATTTCGAAGGGAATGAGTATTTGCTACCACAACAGCAGCAAAGGATTTAGGAATCCAGCCACGTAGATCCGATCTACATGTTCAAAAGAGACATATTCAGTCTCTAATTTTGACTTGGTCGTAATCTTCCTAAGACAGTTTATTCATTTCTGTGTTTATTATTCATCAACGTATTATAATCCTACATCTTAAGTTGGTATTCATCATAGACTGACATCAATTGGAGGAACAATGGAGGCCTGGGAGCACTGGACAGCTGTTTCTCCCTAGCATGAAACTCCCCAGCAGTGCGCACCCACGACCCCACCGGGGATCGAACCAGCGACCTTCATGCTTCATGACCAGCATATCACCATTGAGCCACTGGGTCGCAATCCAATGACCCACCTTTTCTTACTTCTGTTAGTTCAAGACATAGCATGATCACCACCCAATATCATCGTTGCGTATTCGTCCTCAGTGGGAACAGTGGGGCATACCTTGTGGTCGTGAGGACAAATACTCAACGATGATATTGGGTGGTGATCATGCTATGTCTTGAACTAACAGAAGTAAGAAAAGGTGGGTCATTGGATTGCGACCTAGTGGCTCAATGGTGATATGCTGGTCATGAAACATGAAGGTCGCTGGTTCGATCCCTGGCGGGGTCGTGGATGCGCACTGCTGGGGAGTCCCATACTAGGAAGAAACAGCTGTCCAGTGCTCCCAGGCTTCCATTGTTCCTCCAACTGATGTCAGTCTACGATGAACACCAACATGAAATATCTCTAAATCCCCACAAACCCACCCAAATTTAACTGTAATCCTGTAAGCAATTTTTGATGACCTCGAGTTGACCTTTTAGTCGTTATCACCTTGTGACTGTACACACCATTTTTGATGACTTTGCTTTGATTCACTAGCGAGCTACTGATGGATATATACTTTTGCTTTAAGTATAATTATGACTGTACAGGATTAGAAAATGATTTGTCGAAAAGGAAATTTTCTCATAATTTTCATTATCGAATAGGACTTTACAAAACTAAACACACAAATCACTATGATGTGATAGGACTAAATAAGTGTTTATTAATTTCGATTTACACCGATATAATTAATGATCATGATTGACAAAACTCGTAGTCATTTCTGTAGGCCCATATTTACATTTCACCCTCATTCATCATCCAGTATATGTAATACTGGTCTGCCAAACCACAGCTATCTCAGATAGTCAAAGTGGTAACCACAACGATGTTCTATCTCTCTGATTCAGTTAGATTTGTATTAGGACGAGAATTTTGATTGGGCAGATAATATAAATAAGATCAAGCGATAGTAAAGCTCCGGAATGAAAGATGTTATTGACCTACAATGATTGTTTTACAGCATGTTGAGAGATGCCCTTAAACATGGTAAGTAAAAGATTACTCAAAATGACCCACTGATATGACTCTATGGTTACAAGTGATGTCGTCAGTTACTCACGTTATCTATCGTACAGAAGCACATTTTCAGGATAGCTATGATAGGTTATTGAATGATATATTGTGTGAATTATCCTGTGAATTGCGTCTTGGGGATTTCTGAGAATATCTCTAGCAACATTATCACTACCTTACCGTAACTCTGACCATCGAGATACAGACTGTTTGAACTAACAATAAGCTTTAGTCATCAGTGAAACATCTATTCTGTGTACATACGTCTCTTGCAGTCGCTAGTTTTGCAAATCTGAAACGCTAGACGGCATACTGAAGTGAATATGCAGAGATGTGTTTCAAAGGTGGAAATAATAAATGAGTTAAATCGGTAATTTACAGGCATCAAACTAGTGCTACGATGATCAAATCATTGGTAACATTTAGAACTATACCGACTAGTACTGTGAAGTATATTCAAATTAGTGTCAATAAACATTGTCCACAATAACATCAAAAAAGCGCAATCTGTACAGACTCACTTAAAACAAGGCAGAACTATAGATTCCAAGAAGTTTATCTGCAGTTCTGGTATAAAAGCTTTATTTCTATCCAATGAAGGCAGAGGAGTTAATTGTTGTGATTTTTCGAAATCACCTTGAATAAAAAATTCATGGTAAATCAGTTTTGCCGCTTCACGTGTATTATACCAATTTTTACATTGATCATTTAAATCACATGCAGTGACTAAAAGAGAGAGAAATAATTCATGATGTTTCTCATTACAGGGATTATACGCTTGATTTGTCATCTGAATGATTGTTGGCATCAACACAATATGCTCACATAGATCTGTAGCTAAAATGATTTGCTTCAATAAACCCCTCATTCGTTCATATTGCTAAAGAAAGAAGACAGAAAGAGAGTTAGGATGAAAATTAGAAACTGAAATCATTTTTCTATTTCAAACGTTCCGTCTTTATTTTTTATTGTTCTCAAAAGTGTAAGAGTAAAACATACAGTACCTAGCCTGACATTCTTGTGACTCTATGTTGTTAGATTACCAAGGGCGATGGGATCGTACGTGATCTTAAGATAGTGTGCGGTATTCGAAGGGGGTTTTATGCTATATGCTTGCACTCCGCCCTGTTTTGGGGTATTCTCAAAAATGATGAATAAACAATAGGATTCTGAGTTACTATTCCTTAAAAGTCAAAACCGAACGAATAATCACATGACATATTAAACACATAAAAAAATGCTATTTAAAAACAATGAACTAGAGAAATATAGCCTGAGTAATTTCTAAGCACTCATTTTGTTCAGCAGTGTATTTCGTTAGTTAAAAGCTTCCAGAACACCATAAAATTATGGAATAACCTATTCAGTTTTACGTATGTTTGATGAGAGCAGTTTATATTCCAGTCATTGTTTTTAAATAGCATTTTTTTATATCGGAAATCTGGAAGTACTGAATGGCTGTGTTCCTTTAGTATGGGACTCACCAGCAGTGCTTACACATGACCCCCCCCTTACAGGGGATCGAACCAAGGACCTCCAGGTTCCTCAGGCAGCACGTTACAGTTGAGCTAGTGTGTCGGGATCCAATGGTCCATATTTACTACTTTTGTAGTAATCCAGCCGATACCTTGATTGTGATTGAACCAGGAAAGCTGAGCGGCAGTCTGGTCTACTGCTCGCACACCTTTGGTCCCAAACTTGTGCTTCACTCACTGCATTAGATGTTCGAATATAAAATCACGTGGGAATATCCATCTGTTGGGGATAGTGGCTAGTAGTGTAGTCCAGGACGCTTGTTCCGTCCCATTTGTGATTCGTTAGGTGGAGAGATCTACATACCTGCTAGTGATGTTGTCCCTACTGGGACTGAAGTCAAGGATCAGCCGTTTCAAAAGTCAGGGAGATATTCACCAATGCATAATTAGCACCTTTAGTAAGCAGAAAACTTTTATTTCATAGAAAATATACAGTTAGGCAGTGATTTTGTGAGCACTCAAAAGATTTTAGTCAGTTGTAAGTAATTATATGATTATTTCATCTTACTGAGTTGGGGAATTGTTCAGTCTAACGTATTCAGTTCGGCTGCATTCTTCTACATTACTTCATACCACTTACATTTTACCGATGTAAGTCACTATCGATTATTTTGAGAAATAAGTGAGATTTACTGTAGAAATATTCATTTGAAATTATCTTCATACATTTGGTCTTACACTAAGATTATCCAGGTTTTATAATTATTATATTATTATTTGTCATTTGGGTTCCTAGTCGACTGCCCGTAAGCTTTCATTTCTTTCTCACATGATCTCCTCTGTTACCCTCGCATGCTCAACTCGTCGTTTCCCATTTAGGTTCCACTCGACCACCTGGCCTGATACGTGGTCTTCTCAAACAGTCTTCTCAGTGTATGTCTAATCCAATTCATCTCCACTTTCTTCTCCATATTTGTTAGGCGATGGGTTCTTGGTTGGTTCGTTACCAGTTAGCAAGAGTTCTTTCTTGGTTATTCTTATTATTCTGGCCATCTCATCTTCAGTATCAAGTGAGCAAGCGTAGGCGGCAGCTGTTGATGGTGAATGTCTGTAGTTTGTTAAAAATGCTTTTCGTAACGCGCCAAGTCTCTCAACCATCACATAGAAGCATTGACTGGCTTGACTGACATTAGTGTTGAAAATTCGCATCTTATTTTTGCTGAGTGCAGTAGATCCCCACACTGATTTCAGATCAAGGAAAGATTGTATATCTTGCTTGTCTGATCCTGGCCTTGACATCTTCGTCTGTGCCACCACTGCCTGTAGTTGAAATGATGTTACGTTGCCTGGGTAGGTGAAAGAGATTACTTCCTTTGAATTTCTGTCGTTCATGGTGATTGGTGCTTGTTGTTGTTGTTTGGGTGTCTTCACCACCTCTGTCTTCTCTACGTTCACCTGAAGGAAGTTCCGTCTTCGCTGCCTTGCATCGCCTCTTTTGCAAACTTGTTGGTTTTTGCCTGTAGATTTTTGAGCTTGTGTGACATTGGACAATAGACATAAATCATCATGGGCGAAATTCAAACCTTCTAGGGTCTTTTCATGAGTTAAATAGTGTTTGCCTATCTCTCTCCTCACAGTTTCTTGCATGATCCAGTCCAGTCGAGTTGACCGCAATTGGGAAGATGATCGGTGATAGTAGGCGGCAACCTTGTCTTACTCCTGCCCAAACTTCAGAGGTATCAGTGAGTAGCTTTCCATAGTGAGTCATTTGGCATACAGCATCATATAGAATATGGTTGCTGTTGAATGCAGTTGATAAAGTTTTGTGGCACTGAAAGCGTAGTGTTGAAGCAGCTGCCTGTCAAATTAATTCTCAGTCTACTCTGTCGAAGGCCTTTTTCATCCAAGCTTTACAATAGTATAATGATAACTCGAGCAGTCTAGATGCAGGGTAATGAATAAGCTATTCATACATAGTGAAGAAACTATAACAATGTAAAGCACATAATTATTTATCAGCTGCTAATTGATGTTAAGTAGTTGTAGGTGACCAGCAGGAGCCTTTGGACTCCGGTTTTCCGCTTTGTGTCATTTATCTGCAAGGTATACCTGAAACTCTGGTCGACTGCCCCCAACCACTAAACAATGCGTCCTTATTTTGCTGAAAATGAGGTCGTTCGAGGCTTAAACAGCTCATTAGTAACATCTGACTGCAACATTGGATGGCATGGGGGTTTGTATTTCAAACAGGACATTGCTTTCCTTGAAGTTGTGGTTACACCTTTCTGATAAAAACCAGCAAACAAAATGGTAGGTTCAAGACTTTTCCGACTGCCACCAGCCGCTTAACATTAATCAGAAGTTTACAACGGTGATGTATATCATAGCTTTATGATCATGTTGCAAAGTGATCCATATGATTCGGTCAATATTTAGGACTGCATAACACCAAAGTAACCAATCAATGTGTTTGTAAACATTAATTCTATCTGCAGTCATCTGTATCGTTACCCTCCTTGAACTAGTAATCCAAGGTTTTCATTCATTATGACTGGTTTACATTTATCTGTCAGATATTATGCATTCCCATCGACTCAACAAATATCAATCAACTTCATACCATGGAAACTATTTCCTAAAACTGTATTTTTAAATATGCAATACATTATTAAGCATTATTAGTTATTACACATAAAGAAGTATGATAATCTAACTTTGGTCTTTTCACTGAAGACGATGTTTAGCCTTTTTATGAAAAATTTTAAGGTGGTGTTGTCAAGGGTAGATCTAAGCCAGATAAGTATTAAAAACCTTTGACATCATTTTGGGATGCCTAAGGTGTGAACAAAAGTGAATATGCATAGAACCAGGTCTAAATATCATTATTTTTCACAGTAGACATGTCATCACTCAACTTCAGTTGACTGGTGTTACATTACAATGAATATCGATTAACATCGATGATCTGTCGACTTGAATCACTCGTTCCATAGAAAGTGGCTTAATACACTGAAATGTTGACGAACTTGCCATCAAAAGAAAATCACCAATTCACACTGAATTAATATCTCACTTGGTATTGTACAAGTATCTTTATATTTCAAGTCCTATATAATAAAAACTAGGTGGTAAACCCATAGAAACTAAAGCTATGCGTGAAAAGGATCAAAGAAAGCCAGAGTTAAATTTATTTTTCAACTAACCTCTTTTTTCATTTGACTAAAAATATCACAGCCCTCTAGACTTAAAATTCTCATAGTCTGATCAACATGATGATGTTCCAGAACTGATCCCCTGTGACCATATAGAGCAGCTAAAGGTGACTTAGTTAACATCTGTAAATGAAAATGTGATAAAGAAAAATTTCACATGAAAACTGAAGTTACTAATAGTTAGGAAAAATGTGTTACATTGAATTTTCACACTATGCAAATGTGAGTCTGTGACTGACAAAAGGGATGAAACTGGTATATCCGTTATAACCCGGTTATCTATTTATGGTCACAAAATAGTTCTAAGAGGGACAATCCTAGCCTAAACAGTTTAGTTATGTCACGCCTGACCTCAGCACTGAATGAAGCATGCTCATATCTGAGAAGGGCCATGAATTTCCGGAAGAATGATGAATCCTAATAAGCATGAAACTTAGATCCATAGTCTCACATTGACTTACCCTAGCTGTATGAGGCCAAAATAAGCAGTATTGCAATGTCACATTACGCAGCATAGTGCTTATATTCAACACTTTATCGGTAGATTTCGACGACTGCTCACCGACATATGCTTGTCGGGTTGCGAAATCGTCTAAAGCTGTTTATGTCAAGTTCTAAATTGGAAGTGAATAATGTTTCACTGCAGTATAGTTTACCGTACACATATTATTTTTCTATGAAACTCAGAGTATTCATGATAACATAAACGTTTCAGCCACCTTCATTTCAAATCTTCTCTGGACTATTCTTCCTTAAGTGATTTGAAAATTTCTACCAAGTAGTGAAACGAAAGCAACTCAATGAATAGTTACTCTTTTGAGAGACTTATACTTATGCTGCACCAATATATACTTATGGGACATTTACTTGGTCATATAAAAGGTGATGAAGATACCCAACCAACAACAACAGCAAAAACAACAAACTCCAATCACCATCAACGCGAGAAACTTAAAGCAAGTAACCTCCTTCACCTACACCTATCTACGAAGCACTGTTTCAACTACAGGCAGCACAGGCACACACGAGGATGTCAAAGTCAGAATCAGAATCGGAAAAGTGAGACAGGCATCCATTAGCCGAAACCAGTGTGGAGATCTTCTGCACTCCACTCAGCATGTGGAACAACATCCGGATTTTCAACACCAATTCAGTCAAGTCAGTGCTTCTATGTGATGCTTCAGAAACTTGGTGCAGCACGAAAGGGATTTCCAACAAACTACAGACATTCATCAATAACTGCCACCTACACTGGCTCGTTACTGAAGATGAGATGACCAGAATAACAAGGATGAGCAACAAGGAACTCTGGCTGATGACGAACCAACAAAGCAAGAACCTATCGCTGAATAAATATGTACTGGAAGGAAGTGGAGATGGATTGGACTGTGCATGCATTGAGAAGGTGGACTGGGGACATCATGCGTCAGGCCAGTCACTTGAGTGGGACGCTGATGGGAAGCGATGAGTTGGGCGTGCGTGGTGAGGGTGACATGAAGGAGATCTTCTGAGGATGAAATGAGAGGTTGTGGGCTGTCGTGGAGCCAGGTTCAAAAGATTTCAGAGAACAGAGTGGAGTGGAGTGGAAATGTGCTACTGAATCCCTATGTTCCATTAGGAACCCAAGGGACAAATAATAATAAAAATAATAATAATAAAAGGAATATTTCCATAAGGATATTAACAAGGTTCAGTTTTAATTAGAGATCTGAATATTCAGAAAGGGAACTACATAATGTGAAAATAAACATCGTATAAAGTGCATTTTTATTTGTGTAATCCCTGCGTAGTATATTAGAACAAATAATAAAATAAACAAATACTTTGTATTATTCCTAAACGTTTCAATCTGGCTAGGAGGATCCTTTTCAAGTGTATAAATCTGACATTAAGTTTTCAGGTTAATATTCAAGGTTTGATATATTAGGTGACCTTTACGGTCATCCCATACATCGTGATATGGAACAAAGATCAGGTGAGTTAATGAATCGATCAGAGGAGCTTTTGCCAGCTGTGCAAGTAAGATGGAACAAAAATAGGGTGGGGACATTTAGTTCGACTATGAAAAATATAATGGAGTTGTGAGTTATCAAGGGTGAGAAAGAATAGATTACTATTTTGGAAAGATGAATATTTGAACCTGGAAGCTAACAGAAGCTGGAAATATGGACCATTGGATTCTGACCCAGTAGCTCAATAGTAACGTGCTAGTCACGGAACATGAGAAGGTCGTGGGTGCGTACTGTTGAGGAGTCCCATACTAGGACGAAACAGCTGTCCAGTGCTCCTAGGTTTCTTTTGTTCCTCCAACTGATGTCAGTCTACGATGAATAACAACTTGAAATGTTTCCAAATCCCCACAACTCTCTTAAAATTCATTTGAACATTTGAACATCAAACAGTTCATAATAATTGATAATAATGGTAGGGATAGCGATAACGACACAGGTACTTTGATAACATTTGAGGTATGAATGATAACAATATGGATTACGTAAGAGATAGAATGGTTCATAGAATGTATATAACTCAGAAGGGAGCGTAAAATTTATGAAAATAGTAGATCAATAAGGTACTATGTAATAAAATTAGACAAGTTGTTAAGAGACAACTAACATTTTTTGTGATTAAGACGATTAGGTCAAATAATACCGGAAACTGTTCAAATATGAATAAATTTGGAATTAAATCATGTGGAATATGGTGAAATGAAGTTGTGTTCTACCTTCTCTTCATACATTACTTGCAACTGTATATGCGAGTCATTTAAGTTTATCATATTCATGGGATTTGTAACCTATATTTTCTGTTGACTAAAGAAGGGTACGAATACGTATAAAACTTTTGCAATGGCTTGCTCTTTGTGTGAATAAAACCCTTTTGAAAGAGTTTTCTAATAATACTTTATGACCTGAATAAATATAAGGGATGAACCGCGATGATAGAGCTTTTTTCAAGTCTTTCTAGATCATAGGAATTTTTTGATGGTTTTTTACAACTTCCACTGTGTTTGGTTAGATATGTTAGTACTTGACGTGATGTCTCTTTAATGTATATGGCATTACATTCACTACATTTCAGATGTATACCTCAGTCAGTAAAGCATTAAATCTATAACTAACCAGTTGGTGCATCTAATCTTATTCCATAAATTAAGAATTTCTCTTATCACCAACTGGAAGTGATAGTCTAAGTTGGGTGTTTTCCTAACTAAATGGTTCCTACATCATTAAATAGTAGTCAGAATAAGTAAAAAAATAACCATTTTAATAAATTCTCTTCCAAACCTACTGTTATAAAAACAAATTAGTCATTATTACAGTAGCCATTCTTTTCGGAATAAAAAGAGGTAAATCGCTGCCCAAATAACTCAGTAGTAACGTCTCTGACTTCGAAACCAGGTGACATGGGTTCCAATCTCTCTCTAGGACATCATTTCCTAGGATACAACCTAGATGCAGGGCTTTCTGTCAATTTTTGACTCTATAACTTGTAAATATCCATCGCTGATTGGTCTAAATTGATCGATCACTCCTGGCACTTACGCTCCTATATGGATGCCTAGATAGTGCCGACGTTCCTAAACTGGATATTAATGATAGATAATGGCTAGCTGTGGAATGCAGGACACGAGTTCCATACTATTTGAGACTCGGCATCTGGATATGACTGCCTCCCAGTGAGTGATATTGTTTCTGTTGAATACCTCCAATTGTGTAATGTTAAATATGGTTGTGAATATAACTAAGTGTTGGAGGCAAGAAGAAATAAGATTGTTTTTACTGAGGCCTCATTATTTAATTCTTTGGTTTATCAGTATAATTATATATTTTTTCCCCTTGGGTTCATAGTGGAACATAGGGATTCAGTAGCATGTCACCATTTCGCTCTCTTCTTTCCAGTCTTCTGGGCCTGGAACCACATTTGCCCGCAAGCTTTCATCTCTTCCTCACAAGATCTCCTTCATGTCACCCTCACCACGCACGCCCAACTCGTCGCCTCCCATCAGGGTTCCACTCGAGAGCCTGACGTAGGATGTCCTCAGTCGGCCTTCTCAATGCATGCACAGTCCAATCCATCTCCACTTCCTTCCAGTACATATTTATTCAGCGATAGGTTCTTGCTTTGTTGGTTCGTCATCAGCCAGAGTTCCTTGTTGCTCATCCTTGTTATTCTGGCCATCTCATCTTCAGTAACGAGCCAGTGTAGGTGGCAGTTGTTGATGAATGTCTGTAGTTTGTTGGAAATCCCTTTCGTGCTGCACCAAGTTTCTGAAGCATCACATAGAAGCACTGACTTGACTGAATTGGTGTTGAAAATCCGGATGTTGTTCCACATGCTGAGTGGAGTGCAGAAGATCTGCACACTGGTTTCGGCTAATGGACGCCTGTCTCACTTTTCCGATTCTGATTCTGACTTTGACATCCTCGTGTGTGCCTGTGCTGCCTGTAGTTGAAACAGTGCTTCGTAGATAGGTGTAGGTGAAGGAGGTTACTTGCTTTAAGTTTCTCGCGTTGATGGTGATTGGAGTTTGTTGTTTTTGCTGTTGTTGTTGGTTGGGTATCTTCACCACTTCTGTCTTCGCTGCTTTCACTTGAAGTCCCGTTTTCGCCTGCTCGCCTCTTCTGTCAACTTGTTAGTTTTCATCTGTACATCTTCAAGTTTGTGCAACATTAGACATAGATCATCATCCTTGGCGAAATCCAAATCTTCTTCTGGGTTCTTTTCATCGCTCAAACAGCGTATGGCCATCTTCTCACTCCTCACGGTTTTTTGCATGGTCCAGTCCACATTAATCGGGAAGACTATGGGTGATGGTAGTGGGCAGCCTTGTCTTACTCCTCTCTTCATTTCACTTCAAAGGCGTCACTGAGCTTTCCATTGTGAATCACTTGGTATGTAGCATCACATAGCATATAGCTGTTGAATGAGGTTGATTAAGGTTTGTGGCACTGAAAGTGTAGTACTGAAGCAGCTGCTTAACAAATTACTTCTTGATCGACTCTGTCGAAGACCTTTTCAAAGTTGATAAAGTTGAGGTAGAGGGTTGACTACCATTCTATGATCTGTTCTATGATGTGTGTTGTTGCAATTTGATCGGCACTTGATTTTTTATCTGGAAG